GTTCCAGACCTTGGCCACTCGAACTGTGAAGAAGTTCTTCCTAATGTCCAATCTAAATCTGCTCTCTGCTAGCTTGTGGCCATTATTTCTTGTAACCCCCGGGGGCACCTTGGTGAATAAAACCTCATCAATTCCTTTCTGTGCCCCCATGATGAACATATAGGCAGCCACAAACTCGCCTCTCAACGTTCTCTTGCGGAGGCTGAAAAGGTCCAGGTTCTCTAGTCTCTCGTCGTAGGGCTTGGTCTGCAGGCCCTTAACCGTATGAGCGGCCCTTGTCTGGACCCTCTCCAGGTTATCCGCATCCCTCTTGAATTGCGGCGCCCAGAATTGCACGCAGTACTCCAACTGCGGTCTGACCAGCGCCCGATAGAGGGGAAGTATCACATCCTTGGACCTATTCGTCATGCATCTGCTGATGCACGATAAAGTGCCATTGGCTTTTCTGATGGCTTTGTCACACTGCCGACTCATGTTCATCTCGGAGTCCACTAGGACTCCAAGATCCCTTTCCACTTCCGTGCCACCCAGCAGGTCATTCCCTAGGCAGTAGGTGTGCTGGACATTTTTCCTCCCTAGGTGCAGCACTTTGCATTTCTCCTTGTTGAACTGCATTCTGTTGTTTTCTGCCCACTTGTCTAACCTGTCCAGATCTGCTTGCAGCTGTTCCCTGCCCTCCTTCTCTGCCATGTGGCATTTTCAGTGGAATTTAATGGGAGTAGCTCTGTCCCCCACTACCCACAAGTGTATAGCCGGTGCCTATGACAAACCCCAGCATCCAGTCTGACTTGGGCACTGGCTTCCCAGCATGCCTTGTGTACCTCAGTATGACGTCCTCCTGCCTGAGCAGCCAGGAGTTTCTCTGTGTAGCCTGTGCACTACTGCTGCATTTTGTTTTCAACAGTAAAGGCTTTCCTTTCTCAGCTGCCCCTTCCCCTTTTTAACCCTTTCTGCCTGTGCCAGGTGATGAAAGTGAGACAGAAGTGGAAATCAACCTCTCTGATTTCCCCTGGTTCCATGGGACACTGTCACGGATTAAAGCTGCCCAGCTGGTGCTCTTCGGGGGTGCCAGGAGCCACGGTCTGTTTGTCATTCGGCAGAGTGAGACTCGCCCGGGCGAGTACGTGCTGACCTTTAACTTCCAGGGAAAAGCAAAGGTAGGTGCTGCTGCTGTTGTTACATCTCTCTTAATGCTGCAGTAACACTTGCCCAGTTGCAGGGAGAGCATCAGAGCAGCTGTCGTACAACCCTGAGGCTGCTGTCTCCCATGGGAGAGAGTCTCTATCGGGCTAACTCTGTGGCAGGGCACCTGAGGTGCTGTCACTTTGAAAGGCCAGGCAGCGTGCGGAGCCATGAGCAGGTGGGGTCAGGACTATTTGTAGAGTCGGCTGATCCAGGGGCCAGCAGGTGAAGGTAGGCCTGAACACCAGGACCATTTATTAGTCCATAGAAATGCACTCTTTAGTATATAGTATGGCCACCCTTCAGTACAAAGAGTGATACTAGGAAACAGCATCCCACTGAAAATGAGAGGGGGCATGTTAGGTAGCTGCCAGAGTTGGAATTTACTTCCTGGTGCTTTTGTAAAGATAAGATAAGCACCAGGGGCTTTTCTGGTGGAGGATGAGGGTAACCACCATGAGCCAGTGGGGCCTAGCACTGATGGGGTGGGGGCGGGGAAAGAGAGCAGCTCCACACCGGGCAAGAACAAAGGGCATCCCTAGAGGAACAGAAAGGAGGAGTTGGAAGCTGCTTGTTGGTACAAAATACTGCCTAAGGGTCCCTGCCAGACCCAGATACAATGAACAGGTAGTAAAGTGCCTGGTCATCTCACAGCATTCTCCCCTCTGCCCCCAGTTCTCTGGAGGTTATCCAGCTTGCTAATGGCCACACAGGCTTGGGTGTGGGCTTAGCTCCTGAATGTTAGTGCCCGTCCAGAAGGATGCAGTCAGTGCAACTAGGGTGTACAGGTTGGCTGCAGGGAAAACAAACCTGGTGTCAGGGAAACGCTGAGGTGTGGAGTTGCACCCCAGAGGTTTGACAGCTCGTGCTTCTCTGCTATGAGATGAGGGTTTAAAGAAATAGCACTGGCAGATATTTGTCCTGGTGCCAGCCCATCAGGGACATTGCATTAGGAAGATCAGAGCAAGCCCTGTTTTTCCTCCTCCTCCTCCTCCACCTCCCCCGCCCTTGACACCCCACTGCCTTTTTGTTCTTGCTGGCTGGTTCTTTGTCTTGTGCAGATCATTTTTATGCAGCGTCTGTCTCATATGCCCCTTCATGATGAATGGACTGTGCATTTCTACTCACAGAGCCCTCCCAGCACCCCTTGTGTAAAGCTGCCCCACTCCGCAGCACTGTAGAGCACAGCCAAGTGTCAGAACCAGTGTGGGACTGCTAGTCAGCAAACCAGTGAGAGGCTGAGAGCACAGGATTGTCAGGCTGGAGAAGAGAGCACAGCAGAAGAACTTGGTACTATGGCCTAGTGCTTAGTATAGAGCAGGAGTGCCTTGAGATCCTTCTAAGGGTGCCACACAATGTTAGCACTGTTAGCTGTGCAAGCATGATTCACAAGATAAACCTAGAGATTTCCAATAGGAATCCACCATGTTAAAAGCATTCTGCCCTGTTGTGGGCTTCCTGAGTTCTTTGCAACAGAAGAATTACTCTAATGCTTTTCTGTAGTCAAAATAAGTAAAAACAGAAGGGATGGCATATTCAAAGGGCTGCACTGAGTCTAAGGAAGTTGAGAACCACTGGTCCAGAGGATGACTCCGAATATCAGTATCCTGCTCACAGCTCTGCCACTGACTTATGCAGTGATGCAGGGCAAATCACTCAATCCCTCTGTCTTCATCTCTCTCTCACTTGTAAAACTGGGCTGATACCTCCCTTTCTGGAGTGTTTTGAGTCTCTCTTTTTCCTTAGTCCTATTTCTGCTTGACTGCTTGAACTGAGCCATGTGGTAGCAGTATCTTTTGCAGATGTCCAGACTCAAGAGAGAAGTATTAGTCGTTCCCTAGTGAAACTGCTGGTTAATCTCCTGTGGAGAGGAATATTGACCTTTTGGCACCAGCTGCAGAATTTCCTGGTCTGATGGGCTAAAGCAAAATGCAGTTTGCATGAATGGTACTGCGGCTAGAATCAGAAGGGGTTAAACAGAATGGGAGGGGTATGTGGCAGAACTAAGAGTGCAAATCCCCTCTCTCCATTAGAAACAGCAGGGGTATACTAGAGTCCAGCAGCTACTCTGCCAGACTCTGGGCTGGGATAAGGGGAAGGGGAAAGGAGATGTTCCTTGAAATGATGTTCCTCACCCCAGACTCTGCAGGGCTGGAGTGGAGGAGGTCATCCCAAGGTACACCTTAGCCTTGGCAACTCATTACAGGCCTAATCCTGAAAGCCACTGAGCACCCACAACTGTATCTGGTTTTGGGAGTACCGCGGGTACTCATCATCCCTCTGGATCTTTTCCTCATTCTGTCTTCTCCCAAACATCTCAGTTCTCAATACATACATTGATGGAGTTCATGAATCTTAAAAAAAGCAGGCAGGGCTCCAAAGAGATTAAGGTATGATCCTCCCCTCTGGATTACTGGAGCAGCACTCAGGCCTTTTGGTTGAAACCTTCTGCTGCCTGATTAGCAAGGACTTCCATAGCTGGATACCAGTGCATGGCAGACAACCCAGCTGAACCAGCCTCCTGGCTGACACTACCACAGAAATGTCTGAAGAGATGCTTTAGTCCACATGCCAACTCCTGCTCCCTTTACCTGGGCTAGTGCAGCCATCAGTCCCCCTGAAGCTAACAGGACTCCCTGAGGTAGGGAAGGTTTGTCTTGGAGTATAATTTTGGGAGGAGGATGCACTTTTATATGGTAGAGAATTCAGGGACTTAACCCCTCCCATTCTGTTTAACCCCTTCTGATTCTAGGTTGTGTCTGACTTAGTAGGTTCACAGACATTTAAAGCTGGTGGGAATTACTGCCACTCTCCATTCTTGTTAGAACTAGACTTCTGAAGCTAGCAAAGTTTTGCCACTGATGTTGGCTGAATTAAGAGCTCTCAGCGAGCAATACATGTACACTTCCTTTCTGGGACAGCAGGGCTGTCTGGTGGTGTTCTAGGCCTCTAAAGAGAGAGCAGGTGCTGCTTTTATTGAACATGTTCACTGTATAACAAGGACGGCAACTTGCTCTAATTCTTGCCATTCTGCCAGACAGCACTGCTACCTAGCTGTGGTCTGCTGAGAAGCTGTGTCAGGGGCCTGGATGAGTCAATTTGTGGCAAAGCTGTTGGTTTCTAGGTCACCAGTTTGAATTCAGCGGAGCTCAGTAATGACTAAATGTTGTTACCCCTGAGGACCATGTGGCAGCAAGGGCTGCAGTCTCAGCCTGGTTCCTCCATGGACAGAAGGGCCTCCTGGCCATTCATGCTAGTGTGCTGACTCGGCAGAAGCCTGGTTAAGTCCCTAGGCAGAGCTGCCTTGTAACCCGTAGACATTGTCTCAGGGGCAGGGGTGAGTTAGAAAGGCAGGGACAGACAGGAAGCTCCCAATGGGAGCCTCTGGCCAGGTTAACAATGGCCTCTGGTTCCCGTGGTTGTTGCCTGTGTCAGATGACCTAGGGCATGCCAAAGCACCAGAGTGCAATGTGGAGTCAGCAGTTCATTCCACGGGGCACCACTCATTTAAGGAGCCAAGAGACCCACAGGATCTGTCTGTGTCCAGCAGTCTCCATAGGGGATGCGTCTGTGTTCAGTGCTGCAGGGCTCTTCCCTTCCCTGCCATAGGGCATGTTATATATAGGTTTTATTGGTACTTTCCTGGACTTTATTAATAAATATGCATGTCAGAGTTTTGTGAAGACCAGTGCAGGTGGATCATAGGCTGAACTGAGGGATTTGCTACTTGGGCAGTTTCAGTGAACAACACTGCCCTCCTAGGGGTACTACTGTAACAGTTTAGCAGGCCAAGCCACAGTGGTAAGTGGCAGAGAGCGAGCCCTTGGTTTCTCAGCCGATGCCTTGTCCTGCTGTTCGGTGTCATGGCAGTGTGCAGCTGGAAGCATTTGTCAGTGACAGACTTGGAGCACAGGCCCCTCACTGTGCGTTCTCCGTGTGCAGCCTCTCTTCTTTAAAGACTTTCCCAGATTTTCTTTGAAAGAGCCTCTGCTTTTTATTCCCCCTCTTTCTCAAGGAGCACTTCTGTTGAATGCTGTTCACAGCTCAAAAGGGCAGCTTCCTTAGCCAGTTGGGTTCTGAATGGGTCATAGCAACTGTTGCTTGGCAGCCAGACAGTTTCTCACAAAATGCTCTGAAATGTGAGATCTTCCTGTTTTTGAGCCAAATCCTTAGTGAAGCAGAAGAGCGGGGTTATGTTTGGAGACTAGTGGCCACCCCAGTGTGGGGAGGAGCAGATGGCAATGTCCTATCCATCACGTGTAGGAAATGAGATGCATGAAGCATTGGCAGCAGGTGTGCTCTGAAGTCACGCGCCTGTCCATATCCACCTCCTTTAGCCTCCCTGTCTTCTTTGCCTTGTGATGGCTCCTGACCCTGGTATGCTCCTCCTTGCAGCATCTACGGCTCTCCCTGAATGAGAACGGCCAATGCCACGTCCAGCACCTCTGGTTCCAGACCATTTTCGACATGCTGCGGCACTTCCACACTCACCCCATCCCCTTGGAGTCCGGCGGTTCCGCTGACATTACTCTCCGCAGCTACGTGGTGGCACAGAGCCCCCTGCCTGGTAGGTCACCCTGTAACACAGCCATTCTTGAGAGCAGAAGTCTGAGAAGGATGTAAATGTCCACAGAGCCCTGGTCTGCTGGGAGCTGGGCTTTTATTTCTATGGGTTGGGAACTCAAAGGCTTAGAGCCATCTGCAAAGGGGAATGAACACTGCTTTATCCAGGGTTAGAGTTGGAATAGGTTTGCTGCATTTGAATTGTTCTCAGCTCATTCACACCCAACAATTAGAACCTGCTTTTAAAATGTTTATCTTGTGGAAGGGCTCCAAGCGTGCGTCCACACCCTATGATAAGCATGTTTGGACTGGATTTCCTGAGATCCTGTAACTGTCCAAAAAAAAAAAAGGCCTTTCCCCACCAACAGTCTTTTCCAGAAGCTAGGCTGTTGCTTTTGTGGTGTTGGCTACATGTTGATCCTTGAAGGTTGGGCCTAGGAGTCTTATAGATCTGGAGCTGCTCCAGCCACTAGCCAGCATGGCCAGAATTAAAATGGGTCCTACACACGGGGCCTTTTTGGGTGGTCTGGGTGTTTTACCATCCAGGTCACTTTTGCAGCAGAATAAAATATAGCACTTTAAACCAGGGATCTCGAAATAGTGAACAAAAGAGGGTCGGAAACTAAAACCCCACTTAACAGAGGGGAAGACTGAGGGGCAGGGAAGCTGCGAGTCACATAGTGAGTGGTTAGAACAGACTGCAGGTGCCTGGATCTGTAACTCGCTCCACGTGCGCTTCTGACTCTGCCCATGGCTGGATTGTGACTGTGGTACGTAGAGAAGAGAGGTTAATGTTTTGGGATTCCACTGTCCTGGGTACAGTCCTGGCTGCTGATAAGCCGCATTGCTGATGCTCTAAACCATAGAGTATTACAAAGTATTAGAGATGCTCTAAACCATAGAGTTGCTGCCTCTATAGCTGATCTGAAAGTCTGTGGGGTTGCTCAGCACGGCTGCCTTCACCATTGTGCCTTTCCCTTGTGAAGCAGGAAGAAGGGCTTTGGGAGGCCCAGGATGTGTGTTTTCTGCTCCAGCGATAAGGAATGTACTGAGTGGCTTATCGCACCGTACAAGCTCAATGAAGCAGGGAGAGAAGTCACTTGAGAGGTGATCAGTTGCCACCTTGTGGGAGAGGATTTTATTACCTGCAAGCTCAGTGAGCCGGGGAGCAGTTCATCACGGGCATTGTTCCCTGGTGTCTGGTCAGGAGGCTCTTGAAGGGCTGAATATTTCCAAGCAGCACTGAAGTGAGTGGTGATTAATTGCTTGGGATCAAGCTGCCTCCAGATTGGGAGAAGGCTTTTAAAAGCCCGTTCCCCAAAATGAGGCAGCAGTGAGGGCTCTAATGAAATATGGAGTCCATTATTGGTTTAGTTAACCCTGAGATTGGTGTTGCCTCCAAGTGTTTTCCCCCAGTGAGGCAGGTTTTCTCCCATCCCCGGAGCAGATGGCATGGAGTCCAGCCTACCAAGACCCCTGGATCTATCACAGAGAGCTCTGTGCTATCACCAGTACCCCTCACTGCCATGATCCCTCAGATGGTGACAGAAACCTTCACCAGCTGCTGTCTTCTCACCCCAACCTCCTGCCACAGCAGAAAGCACCCTGTTTCACTGAGCTGGAAGCATCTGTGGTGGACATTGCTTTGGTGGCCTGGTAGGTTGGTGGGAAGGTGACAGATTGTGTGTCCCACCCAAACTCACAGAGGTCTGTGGAGCTTAGGGTAAGAGGGCACAGTGTCACAGCACTGGTACTTACTATGTACCCCCACTTTTACCCTGCAAGCTGGCCGCACAGACTCGGTGCTGACAAGAGAAGCATTTGAGCTTCACTGGCTTCTGAAGCTCTTGTTATACACAGGAGCTCCAGCAGGATCCCTACACAGCCTGATGGTGTTTCAGGTTTATGCAGGGCAGGGAGAAGCATCACCTCTGAGAACAAGGGATGGTGTTGGTTCTTTGAGGGAGAAAGAGCCACTGCTTCTCCTGTGTTGTCTGTGACTGTGGCACTCTTGTGTTTAACTTTTCAGAGACTGGCCCCTCCCAGGCCATTGCTTCTCAGCAGCCCAGCTGCAGGCATGACCTCCCATCCCAACACTACTTCTCCAGCTTTGTGCCAGGCGCCTTCCAGCCTGCATCCCCCTCAGAGGGTGCTATTGCCTCTTCCTCCTCCTCTTCCTCCAGCCACCCATCGTACCACCGGATGGAGGGGACCTTGAACACCCGGAGCCGCAGCAACAGTGTCGAGCGCCTGCTGGAGTCGCCCAGCGTGAGCACAGAGGACTATCATGAGAGCGATGGCTCGCGCAACAGGACCAGGGCGGTTGAGAATCAATATTCTTTCTATTGAACACTTGTGGACTGGAGTCAAAGCCTCTGTTTGCGGTTTTTTCCCATGGAGCCACTGCTTGTGGGAATGCTCATGCTGTTAGCAATGAGCTGGCCTCCTTGGCTCTCTCTCCAATGTCTCCCCCACAGTGGATGTTTACATATCGTCAAGGCCCAAAGCCTTGGGCCAGCCCCATTCTGGACCTCCTCTCTGGTGTTCCCCTTGCCTTAGAGTCTGACTTGCCTCAACTGGGACCGTCAGAGTCTCCAGCTCCTTCCGCCACCAGCAACAGACAGAGGCCATTCTCTCCTTTCTTGTGTGCGCTGAGATATGGGTGACATGCAACCGCCAGCAACTGTGGAAGCTCACTGCTGCTGAATCTCACCGTGTCGGAGACCCCTACCAAACACCTGCACTGCTTCATTGTGCTTGAAACCTGGATGGCTGAAGATATCAGTGCCATTATGGAGCCTGTTTTAGGGCCATCATTGCCCTCCAAGAGCTCTTGACTGCTTGTGCTGTATGCCCCTTTCTTCCTGGCCAGGGTGGCTCCTCCACCAATCCGACTGAGACATTCCCCTTTCCATTTGAGTCTAGTAACTGCAATGATTCTCCTGGAATAGGACTTTATGGCTTTGATTTATACTGCTCTTGCTTTGTGCTCTCTATGGCTGATGCGCCTACATGGGTCTCCATGATAGATAGAGACATGTTCCCACTGCAGCCTAGGTCACCTCAAACCATTACTTCTCTTCGGGGATGGTTACCTTGAATTCTGCAAACAAACCACTGCAGGGCAGTAATGGCTTAAAGTGGCCTTGTGAGTGACACCTCTCTCTGAGCCAACTAGCAGAGAACACCCACCCACACACTCCTCAGAGCCATGATGGAAAGGCCCTGCCAGACTAGCTAGCCCCAGTCTGTTGCTATGGCAGGAGTGTCCACTGCAGAGAACTTAACTGAAGAACTGACCCATTCCTTTTCCTCCTTAGTTTTAAGTCTCCAGTCACTTGCAAGGCATGATACTGTCATCCTGCCCTTGCCATCTCTTAGGGCAGTCATCTTGAGGGCACCACTGAGAAGCACAGCCCTGCTCACCCACCCCTGGTTGGCACATGCCAAACCGGGGAATGGGACAGTGAGGCTATCTCACAGGATGGAGATGGAGAGCTCAAGAATGATAGTGGGGGCATTCCCAGAGCAGCTTACTTGCCTCATTCCTGGGTTCAGTGCACATAGAGTAGGTGGCAGGGCTGCGCTTCTCTACAGCATTCTCTAGAGCACCATGGAAACAGTATGGATGTGTATCCTTCACTGGCTTAAATCCATGTGGCCTGTTGATACAGAATTTTCCCTCGGTCCCTTTCAGGCTACTGATGATGATTTTTTTGCTGCTCTTTTGTGGACTCCCTCCAAGCTGGCCATCAGTTTCCTGGTAACACCAGTGTGAGTGCCAGTGTGCATGTGTCTCATTGATGTTTGTACACCCATATGGAAGTCCCTGGCTGCATCCCAATCCTAGCTCTTGGCTCTCCATTCTACTCTCCTTGCTAGCAGGAGCCCACTCTAAGTGCACTGTCTGAGTGAGGTGGCTGCTTTTAAATACCCCAGCTTTTAAGGACAAATCTCTTTGTGGGGGTTTTGTTTGTTTGGTTTTTAAATCTCCTTAGCCCCCAAGTGGCAAGTGTAGCTACTAATTTTGGGTACTTAATTTATTATATCACCTACTGGCAACACCCCTGGAGCCTCATTTTTGGAGGTATGAAAATGAAGGCATCCAAAGCCAGTGCTTGCTTTTAAAAATGCTGTCCATGACACCTAATTGCCTGAGGAGAGAGAACCAGAGAGAGGAGAGGCCTGTTCCCTGCTGCATCTAAAGACAGACCAACTGAGGGGCACAATGAATATGGGTTGTTCACACTGGAAGTTGAGTAACATTCCTCCCTGAGTGTCTGTCCAAGGCAGCATATAAGACCTGTCTGGGCCACATATATTTTGTACTGCTATAACTACAGGAAACCCTCACTATTCGTGGGTTCGGCATTCAGGGTTTCAAATATTTGCGAATGCTTAACCCACTTCTTAAATACACTTAAGGGAGCTCCTTGGAAGCTGTGTGCCTGCTGCTGCCAGGCTCCCATCGCTGCTGCGCTCCCACCGTTGCCAGAGCAGCCATGCCCCTGCTCCCCCAGCTGCTGGGGGTACCGAGTTCATGAACGCAGATGGCGTTCATGAACTCAGTGCCTTATTTGTGGATTTCACCATTCGTGGGGGATATGAGAACATATCCCCTGCGGATGGCGAGGGTCACCTATATATGGGAAAGGGGGGTAATTTTGTAGTTCAATTGGAGTAGCTGGACAAGAACAACCCCTAGTGTAGTTCAGTAAAATGTGGCTTTTACTGGTAGAATGATTCCTATTTGGGAAGGGCAATAAGCCAAATCGGTATAAGGCCTCTTTATACCAGCAGCCCTGCATCCACACCCTAAGGCCAGACCCTTCTGCCATCATAGCTCTGTCAGTCAGGTGTGCAAAAAGGAGTGATTCTTGACTGACACAGCAGAAGCCCCAAGTGTCACTGTAGTTATGCTAGCGAAACAACACTTATAGCAGTATAGTTTGTTCTGTGTATGTGTGCGAGGGGTAGTTGTACTGTATCTGTGTAGAGTACAACTCTGTTGGGATGAGCTGTGTCCATATGAGGAGCACTTGGTGCATGAATATTCTGCACTGGTAAATCCCCTCTTTGGCTTTAGTTATGTAACAGTCATTGCTGTGATCACCTGAGTCTTTCCCCAGCTTCTTGGGTGGGTTCTGCAGCCAGCAGCAAGCCCTGTGCTACAATAGTGCTGCTGCTGGTAGTACCCAAGCTGACTAATGGAAAGCTAGCACAGCTTGGCCTACATGAGTAGCAACCACAATAGACTGCAGCATAGACATAGTATGAGGTTTATGCCTCAACAAAACCAGAGCTCCACATCAAGGCCCTCAAGTAAAGGCTTGCTTGCTTTCTTTGCTTTCTTTTTTTTTGGTGTGTGTGCCTTCTTTCATGAGCCAAGAGCATGTCCCCTCATCTTTTCCCTTAGTTCCACCTCTCCCACCTTTGTAAAGGCCAAGGAGGTGGCTTCTGAGCCAGCTGCCTGCCTTCTGAGCCACAAGGGTTGTGCTTCTGAAGCATGGCAGGTTGGCATGCCATGCAGACACCCCTGCCCCAGAACACCCAAGTGTTGCCTGTCCACTGGTGCCTGCAGCTGCTCCTGCTGTCAGAATTCAGAGGGGACACTGGAGGTGGTTTTTTATTTGATTTGGGTTTTTGTTTTTAATTGTGCATCACAACTGCCCAGCCTGGGAATGAGCGATTTATATGAAGAAGTGTGTGCAATATCCAGAAGCGTGGTACTGTGTGCTACAAGGAGAGGCAGTTTCCTCAGTGAGTGAATCTGATAGAGATCTGCTCTGTATACACACAAGGAACCGATTAGGAGTATCCAGATATCGCACAGCCGCTCCCATATTGATCTTGGAAGAGGCTCAGCAGCTCCTGGGATAGAGGGGAAGTGTTGCTTTGAAGACTTCCCTGTGTTGGCTGCTTTATTTGCCCCTTTCAGGTCAGCAGGGACAGAGAACGGGGATATGAATGATCAACAAGCAAAACTGTTAATTTGTAAATATGGAAAGATCTGGAGAAGTCTAATGTTCTGTAGAATAAATTAATTTTATTTAAGAAAAAAACCCTGCTTGTAAAACAAATGGGGAAACTGTTCCAGTTTTGAAATAAAAGCACTTGAAACAGGACATGTTGAAAATGCTACAGGGCTTTCCTGGGCTTGTTATAAAAACAGAGGTTGTTGCCATGTCATGTGTGTGGAGGTGGTAGTTTGTGGTATATAGAACAGCAGCACCAAGTAGTGTTAGCCAGGATGTGCTAGGTGCTGTTCAAGCTTTGGGTGAGAGTCTGTCCTTGCCCCCAAAGAGCTGCCTGCTTAAATAACAAAGGGTGGGAGGAAAGAAGTATCCTTATGCCTGTTTTGTGGGTGGGAACTGAGGCAAAGGGTGATTTTTTTTTTTTTTTTTTTTTTTTTTTTTTTTCCAAATCGCACAGGCAAAAAGTAACAGGGCTGGAAAATGAAGCCTGTCTCCTGCCTCTTAGGATGAAGTTACGCATTACACTTAAACCATACTAAATCTGTGCTTTATTAAGCTGCATTGAAGTCAGAACATGCTTGCGACTTACAGGCATGGAAAAAAAACAACCTAGCGCTTTACTTTCATCTCTGTGTGCCCCCGCACTGAGTGCAGCTCATGCCTAGAAGAGGAATTGTGTCGGTTTGACTTGGCTCACCCAGCGTCTGTATAGTCCACATGCTTCAGTGGGGCTTTTTGGCACTTTTATCTAATAGCTGATTGAATTGGCTATTAGATAAAAGCACCAAAAAGCCCTTCTGAAGCATGTGAGCTATACAGATGCTAGGGACCTGGGTCAAACTGATGCAATTCCTCTTCTGGTAAAGTGCTTCCTCCCCCTGACCCAATCTGGTGGTGGTAACTGTGAACAGTTGCATGGTAAGGGTTAATATAATTTCTTGCTTGCACAGCTCTGACTTGCCACAAGTGGTCTGGAGAGTAGGGGCACTGCTAGAAGCCAGAACATCTAGGGCTGTATCCCTGCTCTGGGAGGAGTTGCTGGGAGCAGTGCATTGTGGGATGCTGGGGGACTGCAAATTGCTTGTTGTATCTTCGTGGTGCAGATTGAAGTTACCCTAACACAGAAGTGGGCAAAATGTGGCCTGTGGGCTGGATGCGGCCCTCCAGGCCATTCTGTCTTGCCCGCCGGGCCCCTAAAAATTTTAGAAAATTAATATTTATCTTCCCCTGGCTGCCTGTCACGTGGCACTAAATGACTTCCCAAAACTCAGTAAGCGGCCCTCCGCCTGAAATAATTGCCCACCCTTGCCCTAACATGAGCTAGGTAGCACAGCCCAGAGTTAACCCTTGCCTGTAGTGGCATTCAGAGAGCACTTAACAGGAGGTAACAAGCTTTACTGTGCAGATGCTTGCATTTTAAGTGCCCTTAGCACGGTCTAAGTGTAATATCACCCATAGTCTAGTGCCTTACTCACAAGCCCATTCTTTTTCCTCTTCCATGTGCAGTGCTTAAATCAGCAATCTCTCAGACCACAGGGGCAACAACCACTTCTATAAGATCTGCAGAGCTTTCACAATGTCAGTGGAGCCTCTGTGCTGTCAAGCTGCTTGGCTTTCTGCTGTCCCCTGGGTTCAGGGTTTGGAGGCTTCTCATGAATAAGTAGACTCAAAGCCCTGAGTCCACCTTGTCTATGGCTAAATTGAATCATGGTCAAATATGAAGAAGACTCCAATGTGGTAACCCCTCAGGCTTAACACACATCTTCTTTGGTGGAGACCTGTGTTAACAACATCACGCTATCTGGTACCAGTTTAACACATGGTTTTGCTATGTATACCAGTGCTCCTTTGCAGGTTATTCCATGCCAGTGGTTTTTAAACCCTTTTTCATTTGCGGACACCTAAAAAATTTTGAACGGAGGTGTGGACCTCTTTGAATTGTTAAGTGTGGGTATTCATGTACTTTTGATTGATCAGTCATCTTTTGTGGACCCCTTAGACTTAGTCTGCAGAGCCCCAGGGGCCCATGGACCACAGGCTGATCAACACTATTGTGTGCCACAAAATTTCCCAGCCTGCATTGCAGCAGGGGGTGCTGGCACCGCTCTGCCTCCAGTCTTTTCTGCTCTGCTGAGGCACCAGGGAAGAGGTGTCAGCTTTTCCCAGTATGCACTGAGTTCATCAGTGCTGCGCTTGTAGCTCACCACACCCTGACACGTGGGTGTGTTTAAAGAAAAAGGTGCCATTCATCTTTTGTAATGGGGCCAGATGAATGTGTCATAACCCACGTACCAAACACGCACGGCTGTAGTACGAAAAGGACCTTGACCTGTTGTGTGACCAGGATGATGTAAAGCAACAACACTTGCATGAAGAACAAGGTGGACTTGTCCACTTGCTACCAGCTAGGAAGCTGCTACTGACAGGTTTGTTTGTTTGTTAATATAATTTGTCTAATCCAAATCCAAAGGTCCAAAACCATAAGTGGCTCTACTACCGGCAAACATCCTCCACCCACACCTGGGGCTTC